GGTCAGAAACACACCTCCAAAGTTCACGGGTATCCAGAGTTCAACACCATCTCTCAAGCTTCCAGCTTGCCGATAGGAAGCTCCTGTAGGATGGGATTTCATGGACAGTGTGAAAGGGGAGAGTGTGGAGAAAGTTTTCGCTTAGAAGACGTGGGTCCGGCATAGTGTCTGAAACAGACCAAGCCGACAGGAGCCTCAGCACAGTGAATGGTCAGCACCGGGTCTCCCCGCCTCCCTGAGCGAAGCCCTGCTCACGTCCATGGCACCTTTCAGTCTCTTCTGCTGGAGGCCACCACTGTGTCTTTCTCCATCTCGTGACTTGTCTTGGTCGCTGTAATGTCAGCAGTATTGCTCCACGCTTACTGCAACCTGAGGTCTTCCCTTGCCACGTGTCCTGCACGTCTCAACTCCCAGGCAGTGGCCCCCGAGGGAACAAACAGCGGAGCCCCCAAGCCAGTCTTGCACCCACAGCTTGAGGGAGAGCCCACTCCGCAAGGGAGTCCCTGTACTATATTTGCAACTTTTCTCTGAGTATGAGGGTATTGCAAAAATTTCACAGAAAATGAGTATTCTGAATTAAAAAACGAGATATGGACTTTGAAACTTTGGTACTAAAATACACTTAATTCCATTTTCCATAAACTTTTTGAAATAGCCTTGCATTGGAGTAAATGAAAAGACAAAAATACTCACACAGAGAGAGTCATTAACAATGTCATTTTGATTCTACATTTCTAAGATTCTCCTTAGAGTTTTATAACAGCTCGGTGAACAACTGCTAACATTTTTCCAAATTCATTCACGTGCACATGTCATAAACGTATACCTGAACACTGCTTTCTTGAAAACAGGGATGTTACTATCATTTAATATGAGATTCAATTCAGTAATCCTGAGAAAAGAAGGGTATATTAATACACAGCTCATATAATTCCGTGAAGACCACATTTATAATTATGGAATAAGTAATACAACATCCACACTTTCTTACGCTTCCTACACATTTACCTTCACACACGAGAGCGAACATGTGGTATCCTTCTGTCTGGCTTATGTAACCTAACATACTAACCTCTAGTTCCATCCATGTTGTTCCAAATGTCAGGATGCCATGATTTTTGTTTTTACAGCTGAGTAACATTCCATAGTGTATATAAATCTATCTGATTTTCTTTATGCAATCCTAAGTCAATGGACAAACAGGGTGATCCCTTAGCTTTTCTATCATGAGTTGGGTTGCATTAACCAGGGGCGTGCAGATAGCTCATTCAGATACTGGCTTCTCAAGGTTACATTGGATCAAATTAGCACACCCAGTCTACTGTCAAGTTATTCAACTTGTTCCTATCATTTCTTTGATGTTTAATGTTTTATCCAAACTTTTTGAATACCAAAAGGAATCACAGTAATAAATTCTGGCACTTGCTATGCAATTCTTCATAATGTAGACGTGTGGAGAAGGAAGTACTTATAGTACAGCAGAACACTTGACAAATCTCGAGGGAACGGGCTTAAAAGATATATTTTTGATGAATATAAGTTTGAAATCCATCTACATGAGGGTTCTTCAAAGAGTTCATGAAAAATACACCTGTGCATAGACTTCAAAAGTGTTTGCACTAAAGTAATCTTTTAATTTCATTTTGCATGAACTTTTGGAAGTATCTTCATGTAGATGAGACATTTTTAATAGCACTATCACCTCCCACCTTAAGAAGAAAAATAACAAAGAAAGTTCCAAGAAAACTCAGAAAGACTCTGCGTGTATTTCGAGTGCTAACTCCCCATCACAAACCCTGGCGGACGAGCCGGAGAGGGTGGAGTGGCCAACACACTTCCTTTCGCTCTCCCAGGGACCACTCTGAAGCGTGGCTCCTCCTTACATCCGGCCCAAGGTGTCTGCCAACTCCCTAATCTGTTCTCTTCACACCCTGGCGCAGAGCACAGATCAGCCCAAAGGGGCAAGGTCAAAACCTCACAAAGCCTACCCTGATTGTTCAACAGGGGCAGCCGGCTCTGCCCTCTCCCAGTCCTTGTGATACACAAATCCTCGAGCCGGATTCAACAGTTGGCTCAAAAACGGTTGTAGCTTTTGGAGACCCTTTTTATAAGGCCAATCTAAGCATCACCACAACCACTGAAAAATTAGCCAGCACACCCATGAGGCCAGGGCTGAACCACAGAAAAGCAAAATTCTACGCACCAAAGAATAAATGAAAATGAGCCTTTTCTATCTTCCAGTGGGAAAAGTGATTTCTCAGGAGTACAAATTTGTGCCACAAACCTAAGACAGAATTAGTACTGGATGGTAAGTAGGACATTGAGTGGAGTGCTGTGTACGGTGGGCAGAACTCGGTACAATCACTCCACAGACAAATGCATACGGAGTCCTTAACACACACAAAGCCCTGAACATATCTCCCTTGCAGGACACAGGGCTCTATGTCTTTATACTGTCACAGCAGAAGCCCAAAGAGATTGTTTCAAAATGTCAACAGCTCTGAGAACAGCGGATTTCTACAAAGAAGAGGAGGGAAGAGTAAGACTCGCAGGAATCCAATAATTAATGAGACAGAACAAACAGCCACAGGCGTGAACAACAAGGGACTTATTTTTAGCTCAAACACTAGGCTACATCATTACAAGCACAATTAAAGCCAGCAACAAGCTGCCAGAAACAATTGCACGGCCGTCATCCCTGGAGAGATGTGAGATTTCCCGAAGGGACAGTAGGCAGGTACAGCCTAGGGGGAGCCCACTCGGGCTCGGGCCCTGCCAGGGGACCACACAGGCCAGGTGACTGTTGATCCCACCCCTGTCCACAAATCCAGATTCTAAAAAGAAAACCATGACCAGGTGCTGCAGCCCCTGACCCTCTGATCCAGCACTTCCCCAGAGCATAATGGCGAGTGCCACTTCTGCAGGGTCACACCTTGGACTATTAACATACTATTGCTGTGAGATATTCTAGAGCATACAGTCACAGATATCCACAACCTCTAACACACAAAATGTCAGGAGAGGCAATTACAACAGCTAGAGGCCCAGTCATCTGAAAATCTGCCTTTGCTATTTACCGTTGCGATGGTAAATGAGCCAAACTCCCGAAGTCATTTCAGCAAACAACCGAATCCCATCACAGACAGTTAGCTGCTGGAATATCCTATTAAGTATGCAAAAATTAGCCACTCAGCAACACACAGCACTCTCTCCATACAGTGCCCCCCCGTCACAGAGTCAAAGCAAAAACACCATCACAAAAGAGCCTGATGCCTTTGGTATAAAATCTCAATACGCACAAATATCGAAGAGGGATCCTCCAGGATTACCTCCAATCTTACAACTTCTGTGTGATTTTCCTACCAAAGCTAAACGATAAAGCCCAGGATGCGGGCAGTTGGGCTCACCTCTCAGCCATCTAGCTATGAGCCTCTGCCGGGCCTCAACTGACCTCTCCCGTAAATGGGGACACAGAGCGCACAAGGATTCCTCAAGGCCACGAGCCGGCAGGAGGCAGGAGCACCGGGAGGACCAAGCCAGCTCTGTGTAAAACTGACTTCGCACACCCCAAGAGGCAGCTTCAAGAGCCACTGCTGCAGGAAGAACTCTCTAAGTAGCAATCCAGGAATAAAAAAAAAAAAAAAAAAAAAAAAAAAAAACAGAAACAAGAAGCCAGCCGCACACGCGCTCATAGGCAACCAAGCAAGCTCCAAACCTGCTTTCTTCCCCTGAATCTGTTGCCTCATTTCAGGAATCAGCAGCTCACCAGCAGAGTCAATGAGGTGCCTAGAGCAGCAGCTCGTGTGTGCAACCACGTGTGTGCTAAACCGCAAAGCAGGAGACACCCGAATGAGATGTCCGCTGCAAAACTCACTCTGATTTTTTTTTAATGTTTGTTAAAAATGCCTTAACACGGGAACTTCAACCTCAGAAGAGGCTATGTAATACAACGAAACATTGTAAGCTAACACTTGATTAGCTGGGAGTAAGCCGTGAAAATCACAGATGGTAGCAAACTCTGGATTCTTCGTCAGAGAGAGAGAGGCAAACGGTATGGAGTATGGAGGAAATAAAGCAAGAAGTGAGTAGAGGAGGGCGTGGAAGGGACCTGTTGCCACACTAAACAGTGTGGGCACAGCGGGTGACAGCTGAGCTCGGCTCAGACGGTTCTACCTCATAATTATCAGGTCCAATAGAAGCTTTGATCACACTGAGGGCTCTTAGTTAAGACAGAGTGTTAACTGTGCCTCATTTATCCTGGCTCCCCTTTCAGCTTTGATAATAAAAGCTCTAGTTGCTGTTGCACAAATACCCTGTTATATATAAAACCTGTGTTGGTACAATTCCCCTTTGTAAAAAATCCAAACCCATGAGCTTCTTAAATATGCAGTCTTCTCTGCGGGTGTGTCTAGCAAATAAAAAGATTTCAAAATAACAGGGGTGTGGCTTACTAATTCCGGAAACCCAGCACCCACGCCCTCCTTTTCCAGTAAGAGAACCAGGATTCCCTCAGGAAACGACACCTAACGTGACTTCCAGTCAAAGTGAGTCCAGGAGGTCCCAACAGAATCCACCTCCAGAAGTGAGTGCATTACCTGGACGCACCACTAGAGGCACCAAATCTCTCAGAATCACATCCCAACCACAGGCTCCCCCTCTCTCCGTGGATCTGCCAAGATGCTCACCAGGCCACGCGTCTGCCACAAGTGGGGAAAGCAGAGCCGATGGCTCTACCAACAAACAAAACCAATCACGAATGTAACTGCGATGGCACTGAATAGAAATGGGGTAAAGGTGGATGGGCACCTCTGACGAGGCATTTGGGAGCCTTGAACTCCCAGATGCTCTCAAGTAGCCAACATGCACATTTCCCTTGGCTTAAACCATCTCCAGCTGCGTGTCTGGCACCGACGTCCGAGGATGTCTTGCCTAACCCAAGGACAGCTTCAGAAGCTATGCTCTGTGCTTGCCCTGGGAGGCCACCAACAGCGTCCACTCACCCGCTCCTGACCAGCAGTGTCCCAGATGAGGAATTTGTGAAGTTCATTTCCACAAGGCACAGTTTTGGTCATAAAAGACGCCCTGAAAAAGAGAGTTCACATCTCCCGTTACTAGTTACTCTGCACAGTCCTCAGACATTGACAAGTCACACACATTAACATCATATCCCATAAAGACGGTGACAGCCCTAGTCCTCGGATACACTTGACGGGGTCAGGGGCTGAGAGCTAGCCAAAGGAAAACATCCCGGCTTTGCTGTTAGTCCAACTGGAGAAGACTAACAAAACAGAACAAAGACCATGCCCAGAAGAAATGGGCCTAAAACCAGTGTTAATGGAGCCAAAATAATACTTTGCACATGTTACGAAAGGATGCAATCCTTGATGTTAAAAATTTGTTATGACAGCAATTAAGAGTGACAATAGCAGCTGATAATCAGACATGCTACGGGTTTGATCTTGAAGTGGCACAAAAAGAAGGTTACCTTGCACATACGAATTCAACACTAGACACAACCAACAGAATCCTTCCTTCCAAGAGCTCTCCTGCTTGCATAGGCAGGGATAAAGATCAACAAAAACCCGATGCCTTCCCTCCAGGAAACAAAGCGTGTTGTAATCTCCGTAGATCATAAAACACCTGCTATTGTCTTTTCTTGCACATTTTCTTTTCACGAGCTTTTCCTTTGGTGTGAAAATCTTTAACAGCCTTGATTTTTTTTTCCCCTCTGGGAGATGGACTTTCTCACACTTGATCTGAGCCAAAAGGCCGAGAAGCGATGACTTTCTCATTCAGTACAAGTATCAGCAGTGGTAGGGCAACCTGACATCCCACAACAGTAGCCTCCTGAGCTATGGAAGTGTAGTCCTACACATACAAGGACCGGTGGATGCGGCAGCCTGGCCAGCAGTGCCTGCTATGGTTTGTCTGTCCACCGGGTTCATGAGCTGGGGGCTTGGTCCACAGGACGGCAGTCTTCAGGGATGGGAGATGGTTAGGTCATGAGGGTTCTGCCCTTGGAAGGGGTGACTGCAGTTCCTAGGGGACCCCTCCCCCTTAACTGTCAACTCCAGGAAAGTGGATTAATTACAAAAGAGCAAAGGTGACCCCCTGCACTCTTTGACTTCCAGTCTCGTCACATGACTTCTTCCACACCCACAGCCGCCACCGTGACACCACCTGTCAAGAAGCCTCCACCGGAGGAAGAGTGGATGGGGTCACCCAATCTGGGACTGCCAGTCTCCAAAACTATTGAGTCCCAATATTCATCCCCCAGCCTTGTGTCTCTGTTACAGCCATAGATCTCATCCCACCTCAATATGAACTTAATCTTGTGGAAACAATCAGACATATGCAGAATCTACAAGACATCTGGCTTAAAGGTTTCAAGTAAGGCAAACACCCCTAAAGACAAGGAGATTCTTCTAGAATCCCGACTGAAAGGAAATACCTCAAACAACAAATGCCGATGATGAGCCAAGAGTGGATCCCGGATGCAGTCACAGGCAGCTTTAAAAGCACTTTTAAGGGCAAGTAAAGAACTTTAACTTTGGGCTCTCTGAGAAGTCATCATGAGAGCCAACTGATTTTCGAAGTGTAAGCAAGGTGCCCTGTTTATATTCATACTCTCGGAGGATCCAGGGTCAGGATGCACTCCTTGCCCTTTCACACGGTCCAGGCTGGCCCACCCAGTCCAGGTCACAGCTGCATCCGGGTCACACCCAGCACTCAATGCAAGAACACAACTTTTCTCAGAAACAGAAAAACGCAGAGCCCCAGCAGCAAAGCGTAAGACCTTGTCGTCCTCACTGGCCACACACACACACACACACACACACACACACACACACACACCCCGGAGGCAAGTAAGCAGTTCTAATCACTCACTTACAGATGTCAGAAACCCAAACTCTGGCTGCTTTTCCAAGTGATATGATCAAATATCCTCAGACCGTATATTTTCCTTTATTTCTTTCAAAAGGCTTAAAATATACACTTAAGACTACTGGTACGAACAAATATATTCCAAAAATGAAAAAAAAATTTAATTTTTTTCTCATTATCAAAACATTGTTTGTCCTCCACACACAAAGCTGAGAGATGAAACTAAAGAGGGAAATAAAAATAAATGACCCTTTCACCAAGTAGCCATGGTCACTGCCAATATGTTAGTATGAATCTCTTACAATTTAAAAAATACACTAATTTTTATTTAATTGAAAGTTAGTGCAAGACAGTAAGAGAAGAAAGAAGGGAGAGAGGCAGAACCAACAAATAGAGAGAAAAAAAAATCTCCCATCCGCTAATTCACACCTCAGATAACCACGGGAGCCAAGCCTGGGCCCCGCAGACACCAGAAAGCAAGAATTCAGCCTGCGTCTCCCATGTGGGTGGCAGGAACCCAGTCACAGGAGCCTTCACCCACTGCTTCCCAAGCTGTGCATAAGCAGGAAGCTGGCCTGGAAGCAGAGCAGACCCCTGAACAGGCATGTGCGTGTCTTAATCAGTGAGGCCCACACCCACCTCGCTCACATTCTTTTCATAGAATTTTTACCCTGAAAAAAATAAAGTCATACTCCATAAATGCTGCTTCCCTTCCCTTCATATAACAGTCATCTTTCCATCTCTATGAATTATGATCAATGTCATTTGGGGTCATGTGCCATTTGTCCTAGGAATGAAGATGCCCACATCCCACCCATGGGGCACTTGGGACCCAGTTTTCAGCTTCGGCTTGGCTACTGTGGGCATCTGGGAGTAAATCATGTACTCTCTCTCTCTCTTCTCCCCTCCCTTGCTGCCTCTCTCTCCAGCAAATAAAATATAAACCAAACAGAGCGACTGGATATTACACACCCTGTGCAGTGTGTTCAAACTCCAGTGAAGGATAGTTCCCTGTCTTTCACTCAGTGTTATCCTTGGACCGACATCCTGCGTCCTCAAAAGACGATGTCCTGACTTGATTCTTCAGAGTAGACAATGTTCCTCTTCTCTACAGGCCAAGCATCATGGAAATGCAGGAAAATGGTCCTGTCATCGCCCAATCCCAATCATTCACTTATTCCCAGTATGAGACAGAAGATACACCATCCTCTTTTTATTATGCATGATAATATTATTCTACATATTCAAACATATTATCCTAGTGTTTACTGATCCCTTGTACTTTTCTCTCCTAAGAGTCTAGTTCATGACCTTTGAACTGGGGAGGGCATTCTTTTCTTATTAATTCTGAGTATCTTATATTAACTGGATCTATCTGTTTGAAACCCAGAGTTACACAGAGAGAGGGAGAGAAAGAGCGAGATCTTTGCTGCACTGGCTCATTCTCCAGATGGCCTCAATGGCCAGCTCCGGGCCAGGCTGAAGACAGGAGCCACGAGCTTCTCCATGCGGGAGGGCTCCAGGCACTTGGACCATCTTCCACTGCTTTTCCAGGCCATTAACAGGGAACTGGATTACAAGTGGAGCAGCCGGGATATGAACCAATACCCATATGGGACGCCAGTATCACAGGCGGAAGCTTTACCCACCAAGCCATAATGCCAACCCATCTGCTAAGGGACAAAGAGGTCACTAAGTCAACAAGATGGCGACTAACAGTCAAGGTCACTGAGTTACACGTGGCAAGCAAGATGGCGGCCAAGGACAGAACCCTGGGCGTGAACCAGGGCAGAGGGTCAAGTCGTTTCAAAAAAAGACTGATTGGCCAGGGCCATTTCGCTCACCTGCCCCTGAACTATGGGAGGTGGCTTCCGCAGTCCTGCAGGTGACAACTGGCTCCTAGTTCTCCCCTCACAGGATTCCTGACCTGAGGCTATTCACTACCCTATGTAAGAATGTGTACTTCCCAGATCAATAGGAACTGCTTCGACAGGACCCCTGTCCGTCTGTCTCTCGCGCACTGAGAGGCTGGATGGCAGGCAGCAGGCTCACCCCCTCCAGCAACAATGGGGTACTAAAGGAATCTGGGGGGGAAATCCCACATGCTAATCTTTGAATGATTTATTTTAAATAATATTTTTGCATTTTAACCTTTGCCCTTTAATTTTCTGCATGTAGGCATTTGAAAACTACCTAAGACTCTATGGCTATTTTGTTACGGTTTTAATTTGATGAAAGCTACATTTTCATTCATCTCTCAAGATACACTTGCAGCTGCTAGAATAAATAAGCTATGTACCTTGCCCTCCTCAACTTACAAAACAGAGGCCAGGCCTCCAAACCTCAGAATCCTGCACACTGAGACACCAGAGCAGATTCTTGAGCAACCCCCTAACGAAGCAGAGAAGGGAAAGAAACTTCCTGGGGGCGCCAAGGCCACCCGTGTTCGGTCAAAGAGGCAAATGACACAATCCAGTGGGCATAAGCACACGAAGCCTCAGCTTTCCCATGCCTGAAATGGGGCCACGACCTACACAGGCCTGCGGCAGCCAAGTCCCACCACACACCTTAAAACTGCCCCTGGATAGAAAACAGGCTGTGAGGCAAGGCTGGGCGAGCAGGGGGCCCCGACCCCTCCTACATAGACCCTTCGTGTCACACACTCACACAGCCAACGTACACACAGACCCACACACCGACTCATAGATACACAGATACACAGAGACACACAGAGCCCCCCCCACACACAGCCATACATACACACAGACCCACACACCAACTCAGATACACAGATCCACAGAGACACACAGAGCCACACACACACATCTAACATACACACACACAGAGCCACACATACACACAGTCCCACACACTGATTCATACAGATACACAGAGACACAGCCACACATACACACAGAGATATGTAGATATGTACACAGACCCACAGAGAAACACGGAACCCCACACACATCCCACATAGACCCACAGAGAGACCCACAGTGATACAGACACAAACACCCCCACATAGAACCACACACACACGTGGACCCCCAAAACATACACAGATCCACACAAACATGTATGTCCCAAACACATACCACACAGACACACCACACAGAGACACACACACAGACCACACAGAGACAAACACACAGAACCACAGAGACACACACACATACCACACAGACCACACAGAC